AAAGAGGAGATATATGGATGTGCTAAAAGAGGACATGAAGTTAATTAGGGTAAGAGTAGAGGATGCTGAGGATAGAGTTGGATGGAAACAGATGATTCGCTGTGGGGAACCCTAACGGGAACAGCCGAAAGAAGAAGACTTTTCCCTGCTGCAGTGTCTGGTGTTATCTCTCTGCTTTATCGCCAAGATCCGCAGCAACATATTAATTAATTGGTTATCACATATTAGGTGGTTTTAATAGGTTACCTTAAGGGCCTAAAGGGATTTTAAGGATTGAAACCATCAGTTAAGTTTCTTGTTAATTGCAAAATAAAAAAAAATATATAAATCATAATTGTACTTGAGTAAACGTAAGGTACTGAGTGCGCCTCTGTGTGTTCCAGTTCCAGGATGGTGTGTGGACCCTCAGTACCACCATCTGTGATGGTCTGATGACCATGGATGTGATGCTGTGCACTGCCTCCATCTTCAGCCTTTGTGCCATCAGCATCGACAGGTCAGTGCTCACCTGTGCAGGTGCAAATCACAGATAAGAGAACACTGCAAGGACAGACAGTTAGGTCAGTCTGTGTGTGAGAAGCTGATTTAAATGTTGACATAAATAGTTATCTAATGTTTGACCTGTGATATACAGCACATTTTCAAGTAGTGTAAATTAGTACAGTAGTTGATATTTTAACACATTAAAAGTGGAACAAAATCTCTCCTGGTTTAGCTGTGCTTAAAGGGGAATTCCACTAATTTTACGCATCATATACAGGGCTTGGGGAGCACTACTATGTTTAAAAAAAAGTATAAAAAGTCTTTTGATTCTCCAGAAGGAGCTGCTCAAAATTAGCTACCTGTTGGGGCTGAGGATAATGAGTCTGGAAAAAGAGTGAGCCCCCCCAAACCCCTGGAGCCTGCTCCTCATCACTGCTTAAAGCCGTTAGCCACTACTATTAAAACACATTTTCATGTGTGAGCCCAGCCATAACATATAAATAAATGCAATGCTAAATCAGAGGTAGTGAAAAAGATGCAGGTGATTCAGCTGCATTTCTGCAGCCAAACAAACATTGAAGAAACCCTGTGAAAGTACTGTACAGTTGATTAAAAAGAGGAGGTCAAAGTTGAGCCCTAACTCACAGAATCTGTCATAACCGGTGTTAGAATCAGGCTCAGGTCAGGGTGATCCACTGGTGAACTACTGGCTGATTAATAAAACCAGGACCTTGAGACATAGAGGACGCCCCGATGAGGGTCACCACAGTTCACTCTGATGTGAAAATATGATGATGTCCTTCGATATGTTTCTTGTAAAAGCTCCAAAAGAAGAAAACCCAGAGCTAGCAGAACAATTTATGGCCCCAAAGGATGTGTCTGCGTTGATGACCTGCCAGCTTTGTTCTGCAGTCATTAGTTTGACCCAATGAGATTATATGAACCCTCGGCTGATGTTGAAGGATGAAAAGTCTGAGCTGAAAACCCAAGCAGCTCCTTAAAACAGATTTCCCTGCCCTAGAAAATATGATTACATCTGAGACTGATGAAGACAGTGAAGCTAATGTGGACTGATGGTGATGATCTGAAGCTTTTTGAGCCAGTTAGCATCAGTTAGTGATTCAGTTGGATGACTGAATAATTCCACAGACTAGGCAAGACATTGTCTGCAGAGAGTCGACCTCTAAAAGAGGTTAGCACAGCATCGGATTCCTTGGCACGGTTAATACTGAAGAATGGAGCATGTGATCCATACTAGTACTAGAAACATTATAAAGGAGTAACATGAATTAAAGCATTTCATGAGTCATGATGTGGCAGCTGTAAAATTTCTCTCACTTGTTGCAGGTTCATTGCTGTGTTGATCCCTCTCAACTACAACAGGAAGCACGTGGACCTGCGGCAGGTTTTCCTGCTGTCAGCCACCTGGATCCTGGCCTTGGCCGTGGCCTCGCCCATCATGTTCGGCATCAACAACGTCCCAGGCCGTGACCCCAGAGTGTGCAAACTGGGGAATGACGACTACGTCCTCTACTCGTCTGTGTGCTCCTTCTTCATCCCCTGTCCCATCATGCTGTTGCTGTACTGCAGCATGTTTCGTGGCCTGCAGCACTGGGAGGAGGCACGTAAGGCTAAACTGAGGAACAGCATCCAGGCCTGCCGCAAGCTGCAGGAGGCTACCACCTCACTGCCGCCACCAATCTTAGAGCGGGAAATGACAGATACTCCGGATGAACCTTCCACCTTCCCATCTTCAGATGGACCCTTTAACTCGTCAGAGTACAAAGATGGTCCCGTGCTGACAGTGAACTCTGCAGAGATCAAGTTCAACCCCGGCCCTCACAGGAGGAAGAGGGCCAAGATCAACAGCCGGGAGAGAAAGGCCATGAAGGTGCTTCCTGTCATTGTAGGTGAGTTCATTTCCTGTTCAGCACCACTGATGCTGTCGGTCACCACACGGCCGGATTAGGAACCAGATCAGGGATTAAAGGGTCCAAATCCCAGCAACAGTAGCATTAAGTAGTATTAAGGATTTCACTGTGAAGCTGACAAATGGCCCAAGCTGAAACTCGTCTCACAATTTTTATCACAGTCTGAGTCCAGCCTGCAGTCTGCCACAACATGTAAAATATTAATACTGTGATATTTAAACAAGCAGTTTTAATGGATCTTTTAGTAGTAGCCATGGAACTATCTCACTTGCCAGAAATCCATCTGACTGTAACAGATTGATGATTGATCTGATAAATTCTTAACCCCCTTCAAATTGCACATCACCTGATGACCAAATCTAGTGAAAATTCTGTTTCTAAAACTATTTGTGCTGACCAGTTCAAGGTTAAAATCAAGCAGTTAGCACAAGTTGGTTCTGTGAACTCGGATACGCAGCTGGAAAAGGTGACCCTCTACAGTGTTGAAATATATAGTAAAATAACACTAATCAACTAATCCTGAAATCCAATTATTGCATAATACTCAGTGTGGAGGTAATTCTCACTAATTACTATGTCAGTGGCTGACCTGAGGGCTCAGGTGGCTGGAGAGAGTACGGCTAAACACTGAAGAAATAACTTATTGCAATTCATCTGACAAATAGAATATTTTGTCAGAGTTGAACTCCAGGCTTGTATATTTGGTCTGCATAGTTTTAAACCAAAATATAGTTGCACATTAAAATAATTATATAAAATAATGCAGTTGCTTATTGTCAGGGTGTATCTTGCTAAGCTGGTTGAGAGGTGGGTACATAAGGTTTGTGGCACGGTGAATTACATGTATAGATAACAAGTTCATAGCCTGGTAAGTAAGTTAGACTGGGGGCTGCTAGGGTGGTAGACAGGTAGGTTAGCAGTTTGAGTATGTAACATCTGATTCTAGTTTGTGTCATACTATAGACAAATTCTTCTGGTCTCTGATTCTTCTTCTCTTCCTCCTACAGGTGCCTTCCTGTTTTGCTGGACCCCTTTCTTTGTCCTCCACACACTGCGAGCTCGCTGTCAGGGCTGCCACATCTCACCGGTCCTGATGAGTGTGGTGACCTGGCTCGGCTACGTCAACAGTGCTCTGAACCCTGTCATCTACACTGTCTTCAACACTGAATTCAGAAGCTTTTTCAAAAAGGTTCTGCACCACTGCTGCTCCTAGAAGGCCAGATAAGCATACTGCTGCTGCATGGACAGCTTTTAAATGCACAACAGCTACAGGAGATGCTAGTGGCTGTCTGCCCCGTCTGTCTGATGGGACGCCTACAGAGAAATCATTTCCCTCTGAAACTCTCACTGGATAAAAATACCACCTGAAATCAGCTTTTTATTCATAAACAAACATCTGAGGAGGTGATAAGAGAACAGGCTCCTTCTGAATCCTGCTGCATAAAGACGCCCTGGACACAGAAAATTAAATATGATAGAAATTAGTTTAATGATGTGAAGGAGCTGATTTTTTATCTTAAAAAGTGTTGATACCTTATAGAAACATTCATTGATTTTTATTGATGGTCTTCAGTGATTAAGTTTCTTTGTTCAGGTTCACTCGAGGAAAAACGTCACAATTTAAATTCAAATTGTATCTGATGAACCCGATGTACCGTATCTACGTGGTATGAAAGTATGTAGTCAGGAAAACATTCCTGCCGCATACATCCTGTAGAGGTGGTGGTAGCGTTGCATGTTGGCATCTGGCGTTTCCAAGTTGCCTTCACCAGAATCATAGCAGTCCCTCAAAGTCCACTCACAGCTCTGGACTTCACACTCAACTTTTGCTTCTTAACTTTAAAGTGTACATCATGTGTAAAAGGAAGGAAATTCAAGAAAACTACATTTCATTCTTGTCTTGCACAGCAAAGATAATATTTTTCAGAACTTCAAGGACTCTGTTTTTTTTTTTTTGTTGTTTTTTTTTAATTCTCTCAAAAAAAGAAAAATAAATAAATAGTGGCAGCTGTGAACCTTTTTACAATCTGATGTTAACACAGTAAATTTTTGATGTTTTATTGTGTCCACATCATCTTCATGTATAGTTCAGTGTGTGTTCAGTTTGTTTCATGATCTCTGATCAGAATAGGTGTGATGAGATGCAGTTCCGCTGCTGTCCACTAGATGTTGCTGTGAAAAACCTATGATTGTACTGAAGTGAATAGGAGAAACTGATTTCTCTCTACTAATAAAAGTCATGGTTCACATATCACGTTCAGCTCTCAGGACACCAGACGTTCTTCCAATGGTCTGACAAAAAAAAAAATTCACAATCAAATTCTGAGTAGGGAGATATCAAGTTCAAGTTTTTCTTTTTGTCCAAATGATGACTTCTTGTGTGCAGCAGCTGATCCCAGTGATGACTTCAGACCCTGCTACACCTTCACTTCACCTTGTCTATGTCGATGGCTGTGATTGGCTCATCCTCCTGGAGGCCCACGCCCCCTGTTGACTGACAGCAGGTGTGCTGATGATCCTTCCAGTCCTGAAGAGGAAAAACAAATTAACTGATCTGATTCCCTTCAGATTCACACAGTTAAGACAAGATATACATATATAGTTAAGGTGTCCCAGATTTCATACATGAAGCTAATTAAAATACTGAAGTAAGGTCAATTGTATTTTAGGAGTTTCTCATAATCAGGCCAATTAAGAGCTACTTTTGTACAAATCTACACATTTACAAAACACAGCAAAGATCTGGCTCTGAAGAGCTAACGACTAAAAATCAGTCTTGTAATTTTCTCCTCTTAAAGAAACTCACAAAATACAGTGTTTTTAATTTACATACTTTTTCTTTCAGTGTGAGTGAAACAGATTATTCTGTCTGTAAACATTTTATTAATGAGTTTATGATTACACTTCTGCTTGTTTCTGACTTTGTGGAGAATCTTGTTTCTCTGATGATGTTTGTCTCTGTGTTTCCGTTATTCCTGGCCAGTCTCACCTTCCTCTGGCAGAATGTGGAGCAGTAGTTGACTTTGTGGCAGCCTGTACACTCATTCATCGCCACCCGACCGCAGTTGACACATATCTGCTACAGAGCCAACACAGGAGAATGAAACGGGTAATGCAAACCGTTTTTAAACATGACAAAATGTAGATGATAGCTACAGATGTATACGTTTAGATGTTTTATCCATTATCCATCCATTTTCTAAACCGCTTAGTCCCAAACGGGGTCTAGAGCCAATCCCAGCCAGCGGCGGGCGAGAGGCAGGGTCCACCCTGGACAGGTGGCCAGTCCATCACAGGGCTTTAAATGTTTCAGTTTCCTATATTTTTACAGGTTTTCTCTGTAGGGATGCTGCAGCAGGACAGTGGTTAGCGCTGCTGCCTCACAGGGTTTGAGTCTGGATGCATGTTCTCCCTGTGCCTGCGTGGGTTCTCTCTAGGTACTCCCGTTTCCTCCCACAGTCCAAAGACATGCAGCTTAGGTTGACTGGTGACTCTAAATGTCCCCTTGGTGTGAGTGTGTGTGGTTGTCTGTCTACATGTCAGCCCTGTGATAGACTGGCGACCTGTCCAGGGTGGACATCAGAACCGTGACTTGGCCTTCCCTCGTTACCACCACTGAGATACAGACTGGAGGTGTGGTGCTTGAAAGACTTTTTGGGAAGTGTGTGTCTCATACGTTGATGATGATCTCAGTAATGTCAGAGGTTCTCTTGGCCTCGGAGTCATCCGACTGCTGAAACGTGATCTGGTTCTGGAACGTCTGACTGAGACTGCACTGGAAACAAACACACATGAATAATAAGTAACTAAGCAATACGGTCCATGTTTTATCATTGTTGCTTGTAATTATCAAGTGTAATAACATCTGGTAAATGTTGCTGATCTAAATATCAGACTCTGTGTGTCAGTGTGTTCTCACCTCCTTCCTGCCGCCCTGACCTTTGACCCCTGAAGTGTTCCCTGCAGAGTTTTTGGCCTGTTCGATCAGCACCTTCAGCTGCTGGACGTTGCTCAGCAGTGTGTTGGCCATCTCCTCCAGGTACAGCCAGGCGTTCTTCTGCCCCTCGCTCACCACCAGCCCTGACCCCCCTACAGGTCCCACCTCCAGCCCGCTCACCAGCCCCACTGATGGAGACGCCACAGCTGTCACCGCCATCTTGGCCTGAACCGGCTGAGGAGTTACAGCCAACGCCGGCAGCGCTGTGAGCACTGAGAGAAAGAAGAAGGTTTCCTACAATTCTGATGGCCACATGGTCAGAATCAGTGATCACAGTGATGGACAGTACCTGCTGTGCTGGCAAACACCTCGCTCTGTGCCGAGCCCTCTGAGATGATGGCAGCGGCGGCGGTGGAGTCATTTGTTGGAGCGCGGTCAAAGGTCAAGGTGCCGGAGGTGGTGAACTGTCCTGCTGGGGACACGGTGACTGTTGAAGGATAGACAAATAAGATGGGTTTGGACAGTCAATCAGCTTTAAATGTTCCCACCACAGATCTGGACTTTGCTCTGGGGCTTTTAATAACCTTCAATGGCTGTTCCTGATTTATTCAGATGACCTCCCAGGACCACAGGCTGAATGAACAGGCAGTCATTTCATTCAATTCAAATGCAGAATGTAATTCAAAGGTGTTTGGGGTCATTTTCAAAGGGTCAAAAGTCAAGAAATGAAACCTGTCTCATCTGAGTAATGGAGGACATTTTTCCCTTTTAACTCCAATGTTTTAAAACAACCTGCTGAGACTGTGGGCGCACTAATAAACCATTCACCTTCTGATTCTGAACTACCAACTATCTATTCTCTTGTTCTAATGTGTGACACAGAGTCAGCACTGCTCCTCCAAACACATGTCAGACTGAGGTCACCTGACATACATGTGGTCCCTGGGGTCAGCGTGATGCTTTTGGTGGCAGCAAGTTCCTTTTTGGGGGAGACGACAGAAGGCTCCGGGTCCTTCTTCCGTCTCTTATAGGGGACGAAGAGGCGGACTGGACCGGTCTGAAACAAGCAGAGAGGAGACACAGGACACAACAGCTGACATCTTTAAATCAGAGAGGTGATATAATGACAGAGGTGATGTACCACAAATATAAACCAGTTTTTGTTAGATGTTACCTGTTGTCTATACACAAGCTGTTGTACAAGACCTTTGTCTAAAACTGGTGAAAGTAGTATTTAAGATGGGAACTACCTGATCAATATGTAAACAATGATCTCACTGGATATCTGATGTCAACAGTAGAAGCTTAAACACTAACGCTACAAGTAATTATTGTTTTTAATTGTGGCTCTTGTTTATTTTCTGTAGTCTCACTACTTAATTTATCAGCACTACCTCAGTGTCTGACACGTGGTGTTATGGCTTGTTCACTGTTCAAGTGAAGCACAAATAAACTATGACTCAGATCAGAGGTTAGACATCTAAATGTATCTGCTGCACAAACTATTTAGTTCTTGGTCTAAGTAGAACTAATTTATTCTGGATAAACTGAGATTGTTTTCTAAATACAAACCATCAAACTACTTTTACTCTTACAAAAAATGTTTCCCTTCAGTTACAACATTTTACAAAAAGTGTAACAAAACAAAACTTTCAGCTGAATAAATGATAAAACCTGAGATGTTGTGGTTTCTTAAAGTGGCAGGACCTAATATGTGTACTAACTCTTCAGTCAAGTCTAGGATTAAAATACGTCCTGCATCAGGTCTCTTCTCTGTTCCTGAAGATTTTATGGCCTAGTACAGCCCTTGTTCAAAAAATCTACTACAGTTAAACATAGTGCGATGTCATCACTGTGCATATTCAGATAACAAGAATGTTTATTAAAACCAGGTGTAAACGTAAAAACTACATAATGGGTCCAGACAGAAATGACAGGTGAAAACCAGGTGGAAATTATGAAGTGATGGTGACAGAAAAAAAAAAACTAAATTAAATGTACCATATTGATGTTTTCTGCCACCAGAGAGTCTGCTTCCTTTGGACACTGGAGAAGATGGAAAGAGACAGTGAAGATCTTGGGAAGGTACAGGTATTCTAAAAAAAATGGTTATTGGAAATGGTTTTTTTTTGTTTCATCTAACAAAGACTGGTGCCACAGAATATATCAGGAAGGCTCTGATGGTCTGACCCGGTTCAGACTAATCAGTGGAGCTCGGCAGGTTGTATAACACACTGAAGTTTGTCGGTCAACAGTTATGTGTCACTGTGAGTCAAGTCTACTGAACAGATCACAGACTGCCATCCAGTGGATAAAATGTGGCCAGAGATCATCAACACTGTCAGTGATAACAGACTAAGTGATTAACCAAGCTTGGAATTATTTCATTACTTGTTGAGCTTCTTCCCTGGTTCTCCAGCACCAGGTGAAGTCCTTCTCACTCACCGCTGACAGGTCGTCACAGCAGGCTGCACACGTACAGGAGGCAGCATGGGGGTTCAGGATACGCTCCTAAACACACACACAGTTAAACTGCAGACAGAATTTAACTCGAGCTTTTTATTCAGAAGGACCTCCCCTGCCTGTAAATTGTGTTAGTGCTTTTATAGTATCATACAACTTGCACCACTGCTGTTCTACTGCAGTAGAGGTGTAGTAAGACAGATGTATTAGCGTAGTAGTACCTGTATGAGGCAGAGCAGAGGTCTGCCAGCATATCTGATGCTCCTCTTCCAGTCCTTGCTGCTCGCTCTTCCCGCCAGACCTTCAAACTCTGTGGGAGTGAACCACTGCTGGTTGTGTTTGATGCAGCGACCTTTGCCCCCTGAACACAACACAACACTGTCAGTGTGTATAATGACAGGACAGACTTCCCAAAAAGTTCAACAGTGGAGTGAAGTGAGTTATTTCAGTAATTCCTAAGCAATATGAGATGACTGACAGATGGCTGTTATCTCTGTGTAGACAATGTGAATGCTGAACCACAGTGCACAATGCAACTAGTCTGACTTTTGTAAACCTGATCAGATGGTAACAAAAAAGAAAATAAACTTAGTTTAGTGAAGTAAACTTGGTTCAACTGGTAACCCTGCTCTCGGTACAGGTGTGCTCATCACCTGATCCCAGACGGTTCTTAAAGAGGACTCCACTGGTGTTCCTGCAGCGGACCGGTAGCTCGTTGTTGTAAACCGAGGGGTCCCAGTTGTACTTGGAGCAGGAGTCTTTGTCCTGGGGCGGAGTAAGTGGGGTGGGTGGAGTCTGTGGGCCTAAGAAATGGACAAAAGGACAGACAGACCAGTCTCACTGTCCGCCCAGTTCAGATTTTTGTATTTGTCTTTAACAAACTGTTTAATCTAGTTCAATATGGACACCTGAGAGAGAGCAGTACCTTCTCGGTATTGTAAAATACACATACACACAGATGTACCTGGTGCAATGGTGGCAGCAGACTTGAGTCCAGTAGCCTCCACAATGCTGCCATCAGTGTGAACCACAATCAGAGTGGCCTTCTGGGTACTAAGACCTTCACTCAGCTGAAGGGTGGTCCTCCCACTCTGCAACACCCACACACTCAGTTTAAACACCTACAGTACACAAATGGTGCTCTGCAGAAGGTGGTTCAACTGTCTGCCAGCAGAGGGCGATGGAGCACAGCAAAACAATGAGTGTGGTGTTGGTGGGTTTTTTAGGGGTCCTGCAGGTGGTTGAACTTTGAAATTTCAGAGATGTGGAATTTAATTCCACTGGAATAAGAATGTTGTCAGTCCTCTAAATCTGAAGTCTACAGACCTGCACCTGCTGCCTTTGTTAGCATGAGCTAAGACCAAGGATCATTCACTGATTACTAAATTTGTAATTTACTGTGCATAAATGATCTAAAATGCACCTCTGCTACCTGCTGGGCTATATACAGACCGTTCATAAAGGATTTTGGAAGCAGGAGCAGCTTTCTGACCTAATGAGGCTTCACTGATGCCACAGAAACGTTTGTTTCCTTATTC